TCCAAGGTAAAATGGGCTGCGTGGAAAATGATGGGGCGGCAGACTTTAGCACTGTGAAAAGGCTGCAATTGGTCCCTTTTTTCTTATCGTTAGAGAAAGTAGCAGAAATTTATTGATTTATTTTTCAAATTTATATATGTCGCCCATCTCACTATACAAGTGACTCTAGGTGGAAATCCTGTCGCTTTCCCCTGGTTAAATTTTTTTTTCAGTGTGTCATTGGTGAACTTAATAAAGGGCATAAATGACAACAGTGAGCACCAGAAAGTCAAAAAAGTCAGGCGGGAGTCCACAGCCGTGTGATTGAAACTCTGCCCATTTTTACATCACTGCATCCACAGTGTTCATGTTACTGATCCGAAAAGGAAAGAAGGACATACTTTCTCTAAAAAGGGGACAATCGTAGCCCTGAGACAAATTCCTTGGCTGGGGTTGAGCCCATAGGTGCCTGCGGGCACATGTGTGTCAAAATCTGTGCAGTGGTGAACAGGATCTTGTGGTTCAGGCCCCTGAAATCAGCAAGCATTAGCCAAGGTAACTAAATAGAGTCAACCCCATATTTTGGGTACCAAATAGAATAATCTTATTACAACAGCAGAGGAACTGTATACAATAAATAACTGGCAATAGGAAAAAGTGATTAGGAACCCAAGCTATCCAAGAATTAGAAACCAGGTCTCTTTGTACAATTTCTAGAGAAAGAAGCCAGTTAGAAACCATCAACCTTTGTTCATTCTTGACAAGGTTCACAGGAAGCTGATGCAACCAACTTGATCAATTGCTTGCTTGCTTGTAAACGTTTGTCTTCTCCTCTAAGAGAACCTCCTGTAGCTACAGATCAGTCAAACTTCAAAGTAGCCTTCAGGTGTTGGTCGCATTAGCTGTAACCGATAGAAGAAAATATATTACCTGTAAGTCAGGAGCAAGGGAGAAAGCTTTGCCTTCATCTTGCCCCTATTATAGGTGCATCATGGTGCCTGTACAAGAGGGGCAGGACTTGCAACACGCCTCCCCGTCTGCCATCTTGTATTTTTGTTACAAAGGCACGGTGGGCTCCTCCAGGTCTTCTTTGCAGGGGCCTGAACTGCTCTCTTCCCAGCCCAGCAGGGTTGGGTCACAAGTTCGTTTGGATTGGTAAGCAATGACCCTGTGATAGGATTGCTTAAGTCTTTACTCCAAGCCAGTATAAGAAAGCCACATAATATCATAACGTGAGACATGGAATCATGGAATATCCAAGAATACTGAAGACTATAACATAACACAAGGCAGCAATCAAATAATATTCAAGTACCAGAATACTATAAGACAAACAAGGAAAAATCTTATGTCCCTCTGCCAGTCAGGAACCCCAGGGAGATGATGGGAGATGGACCCTTTCAAAGCCAGCAACGATGCATCGTCTTCCTGGTTAGGTCTGCACTGAAGTTCCATCCCATGGAGTTTTTGACTAGCTTATATAGGCTCTGAACCTTAATTAAGCACATCTGCTTTTCAACGGTCTCATCTTGCTGGATTTTACCAAGGACAAGGACGACAAGTCTATCTTATCTTGGAATGTTTTGCCCTTATACCAAGAATGAGACCATCAAGGTCAAGGAGTCTTTGTTTATACCAAGTGGCAATGGGACCATCTCAAAGGTAAGGAGTATCTGTTTCTCAAGGTCAATGGGATTGAAGATGAGAAAGATCATCCTATTCTACACGTGTGTCACCGAGGACAGGGTGAAAGAAAGTATCACCCAAGTATGACTCTTTAGTGACTAACATAAATGCTTAATTCTGCACTGCTTAATGAATCATTACATGAAAATATAAAGTCATGTAGAGTTCTGTGCGCCATGCACCTAAGATAAAGAGGCGCACTCCACTGTCCAATTCCTTCTCACCAATCTTCTGGTGGAGCCACCAGCACCACCCAGCTCTCTTGCTTTCTCACCAAGCGACAGTTTGGGGCATTGCGAAAAGTGCCAATGGCTGCCCTGAAGCCCAACAATTAGTTGAACATTCCAAGATGAGAAAGAAGTGTGGTGACTATGGGACATTTGTGTTAGCCCCCAACTTTCTAAAATACTTTTTAGTTTCTTGTAAATATAAACCAAAATTCCATAAAAGCTGGTTAACTGCAAAGCAATGGGCCAGGTTTTGTTCTTCTTAAATGCCTCTAGATACCATACTGGTTCCTTGAGCAATCATGGAAAACAAAAATGTTGGGTAACTGTAGCCCCAAGGTTTGTTTGGAAGTGGGCCAAAAGATAAACTGGGATGTTGGGGGAGGCCTCACAGTTCACATTCTGGTATTTGGTGTTTTGTGGGTGGTCATGCCCAGCCTGACAGCCATTTTGCCCACAGGCAACCCTAGAACTACAAAATCTGGGCTACAAATATCCAGATAGCCACTAGGGGGTGGCAGGATCCTCTTTGCTGCCATCAAGTGGTCATAAGCAGTTGTGCACCCCATATATCATCGTCTTGGAGAAAGCCAGTTTGGTGTAGCAGTTTAAGGCATCAGGCTGGAACCTGGGAGACTATGAGTTCTAGTCCCACCTTAGGCACAAAGCCAGCTGGGCGCCCTTGGGCCAGTCACTTTCTCTCAGCCCTAGGAAGCAGGCAATGGCAAACCACTTCTGAAATCTCGCTAAGAAAACTGCAGGGACTTGTCCAGGCAGTTGCCAGGAGTCAACACTAACTCAAAGACTCTATCTATCTGTCTGTCTGTCTGTCTGCCTGCCTGCCTGCCTGCCTGCCTGCCTGCCTGC